TATATATATATATATATATATATATATATATATATATATCACATGTGTTTACATAGGAATCCGAAATTCCTCAAAGGGTCCCGACACTGCACAAAGGGTTTTTATTGCACCAATATATCCCGATAATTCTTAAGTTTGTTTACCGTTTTATGGCCTTCCTAATCTTTTCTTGTAGTCTCTGAATAGAATTTTCCTTTCCAGAAAATAAAATATAAAGAAAAGAACTGAATACTAGTTTTCCGTCTACATCTGCGACACTTAAAACTCTTTCAATACGGCGAAAAATCAGTCCGAGTGTGTCCCACTACAAAGATCAGTTCATTTCTCCTCCAAGCGATTATTAGATAAAATAACTTTTATGCCTAAGAGATTGAAGGACTTGGAGACGCATAAATGTGTCCATAATTATGAAAGTGGTCTAAGTCAAAATTAATAAAAAATGAGTTTATCAGTTATTACGCACTACATTATTATAAACTAAATAAATTCAATGTAATTTAAAAGCGATATTATCAAAAATGAATCGTTAGATAATGTTCGTTATTACAATATCGTGTAGAATTCATATAGTGTTCAAGTATAAATCTTGAAATATCTCGAAACAAGAGATATATGACTTAGATCACTTTCATAATTATGGGCACAAATGTCTCCATAACAGTGCACCATCAGCATATGTCCCAGACGGTGCGAAAGGGTTAAATTAGTTATTGAAAGTAAATAAATTTTAATGCATTTAAAATAGTGAAAAAATAATCGAAGAAAATAATATCAATCATAAGATTAATAAAATTTGTAATAATAAATGTTGTAATGACAGAGTATCCTGTTAATCCTTCGTTAATAGCAACCCCTATACGGGTTATCAATGTAAAAGCCCGTATGTACAAGTGAATTTTGTTTTTTATCAAACGATACTTCCCATCGATGCATATCATAATTAAAAGGATTCATTAATATTCATATCTTTTTTTTTAATTAATTTAAATTAAATTATATCAAATTATGTTAATCGATGATGGGAAAAATAAAGGTACACGAACGATTGGATGAGAAAAAATATAAATAAAAATTAATAAAAAAATAAAATGAAAATAAAAAAAAATAAAAAAAGTAAAACAAAAGAAAAGAAAAGAAAAGAAAATTGAATAAAAATAAAATAAAATAAAGTAGAATAAAACAAGAATATAAAATGAAAGAAATGAATTTATACAGGTACTACTTTTAATTTTCATAATTTATGTTAAAATAAATAAATAACATTAAAGAAAGGAAAATAAAATAAAATAAAATAAAATAAAAAATGAAAATAAAATAGAATAAAAAAATTTATACGGGTACTACTTTTAATTTTCATAATTTACGTTAAAATAAATAAATAACATTAAAGAAAGGAAAATAAAATAAAATAAAATAAAAATAAAATAAAATAAAATAAAATAGAAGAATTTATACAGATACTACTTTTAATTTTCATAATTAATGTTAAAATAAATAAATACAATTAAATAAAAAAAAAAATTAAAATAAAATCAAATAAAATGAAAATAAAAATAGAACAAAATAAAATATAATAAAATGAAAATAAAAAAAGAATTTGTACAGGTATCACTTAATCTTCATAATTTATGTTCCAGGTCAAACCGGTCGAAGCTCTTCGGAAAATTGCGAACGTGTTGAAATGCTTGAATGGACTTCAGGGAAAAAAAGAATGGAACGCGTTCGCCATTGAAGTTAACCATTGAAGATTTATTCCTAGAAGATCTCTAGAAGTTCATTTTAGAAATTCCTTATGAAGCTTAAGGATCGAACGACAGAAAATATATATATGCCGTCCATATTCTTCTGACGTCTGCTATTTGTCGTCAACCTTCTGGGTGTGGGTGTGGGTGTGGGTGTGGGTATAGGGTGAAACCGTGTATGTGTAGAGTGTCCATCCGTGTATCTACGTACATTGAACGAATATCCGATTTACAAGTCCTTCTATAACATTTCTTCGAAAAGTAATCATCTAGTTGAAATCTTTTCTAGTAGAAAAACCTTTTCTTTCTTCTCTAGTGGAATTTAAAATGAAAAAAAAAACTCACACATGAAAGATTACAAATGTATTTTTTTTCTCTTCGTTTTAAAACGTAGAAAGGTTGTCAAAAGTGAAACAGAGATAAGTGTAACTTTCTAAGTGCGAAAATAAGACAAAGAGAAAAATAAAGTAAAGAACAAATACTGAAATAAAATTTGGAAAAAAGAAAAAGAAGAAAAATATTCTAAAAAATTAAAAAAAGATATGAACTTGTCATTGGCTGTTATATACTTGCACGTAAATTTCTATTAAAATAAAAGAAGACAAATTAAAAAATAAAACAAAAAGAAAGAATTTATTGCTAATCAACAATATATAGAAAAAGGTTTCATCGAACGATGATAAAAACTTTTTTTGTATTTTTTCTTTTTTTTGAAACGTAGAGAAGATTTTCAAAAGTGAAACAGAAATAAGTGTAACTTTTTAAGTGCAAGAAAAAAAGAAAGAAAAAAAAGAACAAAAATATTGAAACAAAATTTGGAAAATAAAAAGAAAAATATTTTGATAGATTAAAAAAAGATATGAGAGAAATTGTCATTGGCTATATATTCGTTCAGCAATTTCCATTAAAATAGAAGAAGACAAAATAAAATAATAAAAAAGAAGAAACAAAAGGGAAGGATTTATTGATAATCAACAATATATAGAAAGTGGTTTAATCGAACGATGATAAAGACTTTCATTTACTAAAAAAAATATTACCCGAACGTATATATTTGCTTTGGTGAGAAAAAGAAATGATAGGAATGACATTGAGTTATATTGAAATAAAAGAAATGAAAGATCAACGAAAGTCGGTATAAGAAAAAAAAGGAGAGAATCCATTAAAAGGATACTATTTAGTTTATACTCAACCAGTCAAGAAGAAAAATTATTCTCCTTGTTTATAGACGTCCAAAGTGGAAAAGGAAGAAATAAAAGAATAATATTAGTTCCTTTAGTTCATCGATTAAAAATTACCAAAGGTTTACGATAAATCGTTAATAAAATAAATCAAATCTTTGAATGAAATAATAATCGAATTTTTCTAATTAACGAAAAAATTACACACACACACAAATAATTTATAAAAGAAAGAAATCTTCAACGAACAATTTATTAAAAATATTATTTTTAACTGTATTATTTTTTTTATTTAATCGATTAAAGATTTTATTGTTAACGATAAATAATTAATAAACTAAATCACAAATCTTTGCATGAACCAAAAATCGTATATTTCCAAGTAACGAAAAAATTACACACACAAAAAAATAATTTATAAAAGAAAGAAATCTTCAATGAACAATTTATTAAAAATATTCTTTTTAACTATATTATTTCCTTTATTTAATCGATTAAAGATTTTATTGTTAACGATAAATAATTAATAAACTAAATCACAAATCTTTGCATGAACCAAAAATCGAATATTTCCAATTAACGAAAAAAATTACACACAAAAAAATAATTTAAATATAAATAATCATTTAAAATTCGATAACATTTTCAAAGAAGAAAATAAAAAGAAGAAAAAAACACTTAAAAAAAGAAATCTTCAACGAACAATTTATTTAAAAATATTCTTTTTAACAGACAGTAACACGAGAAGGAAAAGTATACAAAAAGTAAAATACCAAAAAAAAAAAAAAAGAAAGTCAAAGTGGATAATTCGATTAGGTTCATCTTTCCAAGAGAAATATTAATCTATGGAAAACAATACTGATAGAACAAAACCGACGAATCGAGACGAGAGAACAACTGGCCGCCATTAATGGGTAGTCGTGCATGAAACGGAAGTGAAGGAAAAAGGAAGAAAAAAAAAAGGATGGCCTCTTTTGGTTTATAATCAATGCACCATCACCACGAAGGTTTATAGTGAATCATCAGATCGTATTTAACATTATCGACATGGAACTAATGAAACGAGATTTGCTTTATTAAATCGAACAATAATTTACGAAATTATTCTCACCTTGTTTAATTGCAATTTATAAAATCAGTGTGTGTTGTGTTTTTCATTTTTACTCGTTCAAAATAATTTAACGTAATTGTGTTTCCTTTTTTTTTTTGTTCCTTCGAAGTGATAATATAATTATTTGCTATAAAGTGAATGAATTTAAGAGTAATAATAACACAAAATTAATAATTAATTTTTTTCATCAATCAATCATGTTGATGAAAAATTGTCTTCACGTAGATTTGTGCGATTTAAAATCGTGGCGTCGATTATCGTCAATTTTGAAACAATGATCGTTAAAATATTCAAATAAAAATGTCGATAATTCGTACGAGTGAAAAAATTCAATCATGTGGACTATAATATTGAACAAAAATACATTGACAATTTTTTCCACGGATTTAATCAAATTATTATCCAATAAAATTAAATGATAATTGATCATTAAATATTTCGTGGAATTAATTCAATGAACAAATAATTGTTAACTCGTATTGAAATTAAAGAAGAAGAAAAACAAAAAAAAAAACATCAAGAAAATTATTAAAAAAAAAAAAAAAAAATAGAAAAAGAATAATTCGTGATGCAGTCGTTGGAAGATTCGTTTAATTTAACAAACGATTATGATTGGAATAAATCGTTATTGTGGTTCGACAATTATACGTTCAACCTGTCGTGTGGAGAATGTGTAAACAATACAAATTTTACGGATCTCGAGTTGAGAAATCAATTTGTATTACCATGGTGGAGACAAATTATTTGGAGTTTATTATTCGCCGGTATGATCATCGTAGCTACCGGTGGAAATTTAATAGTGATATGGATAGTATTAGCGCACAAAAAAATGCGCACTGTGACCAATTACTTTTTGGTCAATTTAAGTATAGCAGATGCTATGGTGTCTACATTGAACGTTACATTTAATTACATTTACATGCTCAACAGTCATTGGCCATTTGGTACACTTTATTGTAAGATATGCCAATTCATAGCGGTACTCACAATTTGTGCTAGTGTCTTCACTTTGATGGCTATAGCAATCGATCGGTAAGTGTTTTCTTTATTTATTTATTTAAAAATATTAAAACTCTATTTTCAATGTGTGATATGATATAATATTACATCTATCGGGAAAGTTTTGTCCATTTTTAAAAATAAAACAAAAGTAATAAATTCAATTAGTTGTTTTTTGCGTCCACTAATTGGGTTAGCAAATAAATGATTGAGGATTTTGTCGATAGGTGGCTTTTTAAAATCAACAATGACTTAGTTACCAACCCAATACAAACTTTGTATCATAGGGAAATTGGACAGGTAAAAAAAATCAGAACATATTGTTTTGATCTTGTTGAATATTTCGTCAACAGGATTTAGGAATTTTTCAGCAACTATAAAATACAAAAATTACATAACCTCAGAACGGACAGACCATTCCGATAGATTTAAATATGTGTAGGTGCATGTATTATATGTGTGTATATATGCATAAGTTTTAAATTCACCGACTATGAAATATTCGAGTATGATAAATGGGGTTTTACTGAGTTAACAGAAAATTTCACTAGTATAAATCACTGGACACCGTTGTGTTACGCTCCGACAACTTCGATAATTAATATTTTCTCATTTTATTTTAATTTTTATTTGTATTTTTTATTTTTAAAACATCTAACCGTTCTTATTTTATCCATTTTCTTTTCTGTCAAGGTTTGTAACTATTTTCGTAACTCGTTAAATGCAGCAACCCTTGTGCTTTTTTAACAAACATCTCTCTCTCTCTTTCTCTCTCTCTTTCTCTTTCCTTCTCTCTTTCTCTGAATAAATGGGGGGAAAAAACACGTTTCTAAATGTTGCTTCATCTCGTCGAGTATTTAAGTGCTACGGAATCGGTCTTGTTGTGTTAGGTTCGAACAACGTACAAATATTATATGGAATTCGATTCGTACCGAAGAACAGCAAAATGAGATCAATCGGATAATAACACGAAAGAGGTATACTTCAGTATCGAAAATAAAAAAGAAAGAAATAAAATACAAATAAAAAGAAAATATATATAAAAAAAAGGAACAATTTTAAATAACCAACAAGAGTAGTATATAAGAATGTTTGTTAGTTCAAATAAAACACATTAAAAAAAGAAATAAATTTTATTTTCAACAAATGTTTGCTATCTTAAGTCAGAAATAAAGAAAAAGAAAAAACAAATAAATATTATACGTTTCTATATTATTCTTTTATATCAAAATAAGAAAAAAACAATATTATTGGATTATTAAAAAGATAGAAATAAAAATAAAAATACAAAAAGAACAAAAGTAGAAATATTTTACAAATACTTTTATTTAAAAAAAAATATTATGTGTGAAAATTACTGATTGACCTATAGAGATAAAAAGAAAAAGAAAAATAAAAGAAAAAACTTAAATAGAAATATTTTTAAAATACTTTTATTTAAGAAAAAAAAATGTTATGTGTACAAATTACATATTTGCTTATAGAGATAAAAATAAAAAATAAAAATACAAAGTAAACTTAAATAGAAATATTTTTAAAATACTTTTATTTAAGAAATAAAAAATAATATGTGTAAAAATTACTTAATGACCTATAAAGATAAAAATAAAAATAAAAATAATATATATAAAAAAAAAGAAATACTTTGAAAACGACGTTAGCGGAAGTTTAGTAAAAGAGAAAGAATATAATTGGAAAAATTATAAAACATATTGGGAACTGGAAATTGTCCGAATGAAATTATTATCTGCGTGGGTGTTATCGAATGTGTGTATCAGGCAACATCTGGTAGAACTTTTACGATCCCGATGGGCGATGCTGGTGATGTTGGTTGTGGATTCTTTGCGTGAAAGAAACTAACGTAAAAGACTAACGTAAGAAATAGAGCATTCTAAGATAGATTTATCCGTATTATATCAATGGCTTTTCCTTTTGGCTCGAATTTAAGAAAAGGATATCCACACTTGAACGGAATAATATAATACTACACTCTCTTCTTCCTTCTAACCAATCACCCAACACCATTAGACGTACCATCGATTTCTCATTTTTTCCCTTTTCTTTCTTTCTTTCTTTCTTTCTTTCTTTCTTTCTTTCTTTCTTTCTTTTTGAAGAAAAATATCTATAAGATATCTTCACGCGTAAAAGATAAGTATAGATAAAAATTCGGATCACGATCGCAATTCTGACAACCGCTGTGTTTTCTTTCCCCTCCAACCCTGTTACCACAAGATCTTCTGGTATAAACTTGATAACAACTTTGAATCTAACGGAAATATTTATTATTTATTATATAATTATATTTCTAATGATTCTTTTCAATAATTTTCCTTATCATTTCGAATTTAACTTTGAATGTAAAATAAACAAACATTCTATCTAAAAATAACTAATATTTATTATCTTATTTATTTATCAAAATTTATTGTCACGTTGTTGGTTTCCAATAAACTTCGAAACTACTGAACTTCTTTTCTTAATTTTTTTTATAAAATTTTCTTTATTTTGTGTAATTTTTTTCAACTTAGAATATAGGATAGTTTTAATCACAATTATTAGTTATTTTTTATTGCTAATTTTAGGATTTATTTAAGGATTATTTAGAGGCTATCTAAGTCACTAGGTTCTGTTAAGCTTTCAATAGATGGCGATGTATTACAATTCAATTATTTCACGCTTTTCAGGTTTTTTCAGAGTTCATATGACATAACTAACCTTTCTTTTTATATTTTTCGAGTATTATTATTTTATGTATTCCATTCTAATTGTAATATTAATTTGTACGTTGTTATAATTTACTAAATAATTTAAAATCATATAAATATTAAAATTATATATTAATTAAAATTATAACCTTATTTTTTATATTTTTACGAGTATAATTATTTTATATATTCCATTCTAATTGTAATATTAATTTGTATGTTGTTATAATTTACTAAATAATTTAACATTGTATTAAATCAAGATTTTATAACAAAACCCATAACAATGCATGGCCACAGATAGCATTATTATATTTTTAATAATTCTTTTCTTTAATTTTCTTATCATTTCTAAACGATATATATATATATATATCTAACAATAAGTTAATATTCCAAGTTTTCCTCGCTTTCATTTCGTGTATGTTGTAATAATTTAGTTTTGAAAATAGAACCTTCAACGGATAAAAAGGAACAAAAGCTATTGCCTGAGTTTTCCTAGTGTAAGTAAACTAGAGTGGTTATTATATTTCTTAGATAAGAATGAGACAGAGCACATTTTCGTCCTGCTGTCTCTCGCGGGAGATTTAAAAAGGAATAAGATATAAAGGAGAAAAATAAAAAGAAGTAAAAGAAGAAAGAAACAGAGAGAAAGATAGAGAGAGAGAGAGAGAGAGAGAGAAAATGCGAAAGGTGGAACTCTTAAACTTGGAACATCGTCGAGCTTATGTTAGATGAAAAGCTTGTGAAAAAGCTATTTTTTTTTTTTTGTCATTTTCGTCTCTTTTTTTTTTTTATCTCCTATAGTTAAAAAGAAAGATCATCTTGGCTAACGTGTTAGCCAGAAATACTTGAAATTATTCTTCGAAGTGGCATGCATAATTCAAGAATCCTTTCTCTAGAGTCTAGACTAAATATTTAAAACCTTTAATTCGATGAAATAATAATTTTACTCTCCAATTGTGAAAGAGAAATAAAATGAAAATAAAAAGAAGAAAGGAAAGTAGACAGAAAGGAAGAAGAAGGACCATCGGTAAAGGAATTATTATCTTCCTCTTATATACGTAGAAGGAATCCAATAGGAACGATCAATAAGAAATTTTGCCGAGTATGAGAAAGAATTTTCTTCGATCTCTTCTCTCTCTATTTCTCTCTCTCTCTCTCTCTCTCTCTCTCTCTTTATCTCTCTTTTTCAACGTATTCATTTTCAACTTAAATTATATTTTATTTTTATCTCTATATAAAACCTTAGATGAGATAAAAATATATTTCATTGATCACATTCGTTTTCCAATATTCTATTCTTGAAGTAGAATATTTTTTTTAAATGTGTGAATATCTTTTTAATTTTATAAAAATAGAAATATAACAGATTATATTAATTATCCAATTAAAAATAGAAATAATACAGATTTTATTAGTTATTGAATTTAAAATAAAAACAATATACAGATTTTCTTATAAAATAATTAAATATTTCTTTTAATTAAATTTTTCTTAAATATTTTTAAAGAAAAATATTTTTTTAAACTAATATCTTTTCCTTTTATAAAAATAGAAACCTAACAGATTTTCTTAATTAATAACTTTAAAATAAAAACAATACAAATTTTATTAATTATAAAATTAAAAATAGAAATAGAAATAATACAGATTTAATTAATTGTCGAATTTAAAATAAAAACAATACAAATTTTATTACAAAATAATTAAATTTTTTAAAAATAAATTTTGCTTAAATATTTTTTTAAACTAATATATTTTCGTTTTGTAAAAATAAAAACATAGCAGATTTTATTATCAAATTAAAAATATAAAACAATAAAGAGTTTCTTACAAAATAATTATATTTTTTTAAATATAAATATTGCTTAAATATTTTTAAAAAAGAATATTTTTTTAAACAAATATCCTTTCGTTTTATTAAAATAGAAACAATATAGATTTTCTGAATCACTAAATTAAAAATAAAAATAAAACAGATTTTCTTAATTATCAAATTAGAAATAGAAACAATACAGATTTTATTAATAATCGAATTAAAAATGAAAACAATATTAATTGTCTTCCCAATCGAATTTATAATAAAAATAAATTTTTTTTATGAGATTATAACTGTTTAAAATAATAATTCATTAAAAATTGTCATTTGCAGATGTTTTTATCGAGAAAAAGAACCGATGAATAATTGACTAAACTATTTCCTCTATTTCTTTTTTCTTTTCTTAAATCTCATGAAAAAGATAGTAGGAGAAAGAGAGTGATTGACTGAGTCAGATAACGATCGTGCTCATTAAGCTACAATCGGGTCTTACGTTACAAGCGAAC